GACAAACCCCTGGGCCTCCTCCACAGACAATCTTTGGAACTGGGATGTTTTTGCTCCATCAAAACAGCTTTTAGCCGATGGCACAGTTTGTAGAAAAAATCCCATCTTATTGGATGGTTGCAGTTATGTGTCATTTAATTCCCTCTTTGCCCTGTGTTATAACACTTTTATTATGAATTTATGCAACTGCACACATTAAATTTGCAATAGCAAAACAATTGGCACTTATGTACAGATAATCACTATCCTGTTTACAACTTCCTGAAGGAATATTGATATAGGTGACATTTTTGTTTAATGGTGGTAATTTATTTGTCTTCCTATTTCCACATTCTCTGTTTTACAGAATATGATTCAGAAACAAAAAGGGTTCAAGACATTCTTTCTGGAATGGAGAAGCCACAGGTATGTGATCCAGAATTACACATACAAGAAAAAAATAGCAAATATTATGAGTGCATTCTGTCCTGATTGACGGGGATTTCATAAAGAGGCATCTCTGAATTTTTACTTGCTAGATTGTTGCTTCTGCATATTTTTATCTAATTCACTTTTTAGGGCTGTAGTCAGTGGGTATAAATTTCTAAGTATGTTCTCTGCTGTGGGAATGTCTGGCCTCTGCCCACTGCAAAACTGCACCAGTCCCCTGCTTGCAGGAAGGGACTCTCAGCATCCATAGAGGTGATGATTTACATAGCTCTTCTTCCCCTCCCCATGGGTTTAATTTTATTTGTCATAAGCAATTGATGTCTATAATCATGATTAAATTAAGCTAATTGTGTTATTCAATGGCAATTATTATATTAGAGTTTGTCTTAAGCAAAAGAAAGCACATGAATTGCAATGGGAATTCAATCGCTGTACAATAACCTTAATGCTAGACAAGCAAGGTTATTAATAAATCTGGTTATAAGGTCTGTGTTTCTGATCTTTTCCTAGTTTGGGTCAAAAGAAAAACCAGGATGGTATTGTGGATCTAAATAAATAGTTCAAGCAAACACTTGAACAAGGGAGGCAGCGTGAGAAGCTTTGAGATTCTCTATCCTTCACCCTGAAAACAGGCAGGGTTTTTTCTGTCAGGCTGGAAGCCTAGGGAGCAAATGGATAAATAAGAGGGCAAACAAGAGTTAAAATGCTCTTGTAAGGACTGAGCTCAGTAGCACCTGAACAGCTGAAGGGAAGAAATTGGGCAGTGGAAGTTTGAAGAGCTACGATGCCCACGGGACATACGGGAGGGAGAGGCATGCAGGAGCAGGGGCTGAGGTTTCATTTTTAGAATCTTAAAATCTTTCTATTAAATGCTTTCATTCTGGATAAAACAGGAGGGTGTCCAGTTGCTGCATTCTCTTATCCTTGCTTCTGAGGGTGTCTGCTTTAAGCGAGGCCAGCCAGACCGAAGTCAGACTTCTGGAGATGGCAAACGTTAGAGGGCTGCAGCACCAATCTCTGTGTGCAAGTAGGAAAATTGCCTTACTTCATTTGGAAACAAGTGACGGTGTAAAGCCTGAGACCTCGGGAAAAGAGAGACTGGAGAGACTGGAATGCTGAGAATGGGCAGTTAGCCCAAAGCTGGGTCACTGGAGTGCACAGAGGGTGACACTCAGAGTTTTACACCTGAGTGTGTCTCAGCCTGCTGCCTTTTACACAGATGCTCTGCACTGACATGAAGAACGTGACGGGACATGGTTAGAGCAGCAGGAAAGGCCCGTTCAACCCGCAGTGTTCAGAGCTCGGCGCAGTTAGATACCTGGTAACAGGTGCTTAAAGCAGAGAGCAGCAAAAATACAAATAGAAAAAAATAAAATTCCTTGTACCATTTCCAAAGTAAATCTTAGAGGAATCTTAACGAAATCTGGAATGTAACCAATGCTGGTTAAATAGCAATGACGTTTAAGGAGATGTCATTGGGGATTTTCTGTTACTTCTCTAACTTTGTCATTTGTCATTATGCACTGACTGCTTTCGATAATTATGGGCATGTACTTAGTATTATATGTGATGGAAATACGTGTTATTGTATTAGTCAGCTGGACCATAGTTCAGTGAGCCTCATGTGTATACAAAAGAAGTAAAACACCATTCAGAAAAACACTTGCATGGAATGAAGACAAACACCAACCGGTCAGGTAGCAGCACAGGGGAGTGAAGCTGAAAGCACCGAGGGGGAAGTGCTACTGGCACGGGCCAAGCCCAAACGCCTCAATATCTATGGGGATTTTTGCCAGAAACTGCAAGATTAGGCCCAGAGTTTAAAAGTGAAACCTTGTCCGAGCAATGGCAGTGAATTCGCTGGGCCCCCAGCCCGTTGCTTGTGTTTGCACAAAGCAGCAGCCAGTGCCCGTGAACCCAGCCCTGCATCAGGGAGATGATGGAAGCTGTGCAGAAACGTTGCTTGGTACCCAGGAGCACCTGGAGGCTTTGGCAGAAGTTCCCTTAGTAAAGTTAAGTGATTGCTTGGCCATTAAATAAGATATTGAAGATATATATAGATATATATATGTATGTATACACAGTGTGCATAGTTTTGTGATTGCTGTTTCATACAGACTCACCCTTACTTGCTGCTGCTTAGTGTGGGTACTCACTACAGCTCACAGTTGTATTTAATCATCCATTGTGTTTACTTAAAAACCTGCATCAGCAGTTTGGTGTGTAATACCACACAGCAGGTCTGCAGTAGCTCTGAAGCTGCTATCAGCAACAGTTCAAAGGTGCAGGGAGGGAAACACTGTGCTCAGGAGCTGCTCCTGACTCGTATCCCCCGGGTGGAAATGCACTTACACTCTCTTAGAAGGCTAACTGGCCATTTTCATGGCTTTTCAAGCCTTATTTTAAGAAACAATAATAGCCCTTTTGCAGTTAGCTGGAGTTCATGAAAGGCCAAGGTTTTTGCCATATGCAGAATATACATACGTGTGTCCTCGGGAGTAGTCATAGAGAAAAACATTGCAGTAGAACATTGGCAGGATAGCATGCCTCAAGCTCCAAGTCCATCTGAATTTATGAAAAACAATTATGCAAGCATATTTCCATAAAAATAAAAGAAACTACATGTTCATGGGTTCAGCTGGTAAATAGTAGTGATGTTTGTTAAAAGAAATTCTGATCTGGATCTATTTATTATCCAATTCTCAGACCTATTCTGTACACTATATAAAATGTAGGTTTTTAGCTTCAAATATATTTGTCACAACTAAATTTATTTCTATACACACACACACACGTATATGATATTTATCTTTTTGCTTATTTGAAAAATTCAGAATTTTTATACATAGATCATTTAAGATCAGTTTTTGCTGGTGCAAGTTTTGAAGGGAACATTGATTTCCTCGCAGCAGAAAAATGTGACTAGAGCAAGAACTATGTGTACCAGAATTTGCATGCTCATATGTTTAATGAAAAAAAGGTTGCTACTAGTTAACCTCTTGTTTTACAACTTGCTTTCCATATTATGTTTAACAGAAGTTTTCTTTTTGGCAAGACTAAATGCTGCAATAAATAAAGGCCTTTAACTTTAGAGAGCACAGTGTTGAAGCTAAGATGAGACAATTTGTGGTTTCACCTACTTGTCATTATGTTAAAAACGCAGATTTATGACTTGCTTAGAAAGCATGTGCTTGGGGTATCAGTATCACATACAGCAGCCACAGTGCTTTTCAGCTGGAAGCAATGTGTTTCATATGAGAAATTAAATATTCTGCAGTGCACATACGAGTCAGACTTCTGGATATCTTTAAATGTAAGGAAGCAGGCCTTAAATCTGATATTCCATCCCCTTGCTAGGTAGGCGATGGTCTTGCAGAACCCCTCACTGAAGCTGCTGTTCTGCACCCACATGTGATGAAGGACGTTGCTGGCAACAAGCCTGTGGGTGGAAGCTCTGTCCTGTGTTTCCAGAAGAAAACCCATGGCCGTGTCAGAGCTGCTGTGGTGATGGGGCTTGAGGCGTTTTCCACGGTTTCCCTCCAAGGGAATCTTGGCCCATCTACCCTTTAGATCCCCCTGCAGAGCTGCACCCAGCGGTCATGAGTCAGAAATGCTCCCTTTTCTGTCAGGGTGTAAAGGGGTTGATTTGGGATTTATTATTTCGCCATGAAGTCAGACTTTTAATGCGATCCTTCCCTAGGCTTCTGAGACAGTGTAACTTAGCAGACACTTGAGTTATTGCAGCTTCGAATTACAAGAAGGAGCAGAATGAGTAAAAATGCCATTGCTGCCTTTTTCAAGAATCTCGATCTAGAAAAATAAGTGTGGACAAGAAAATCTATAGAATGAAGTTATTGTTCCTCTTATTTCCCCTTGCTTCCTGATAATGGCCACAACAGAAGGATAAGTTAAAATGGTGCAAGGAACGCTTTAAGGAAACCTCAGGCACTAAGTATCCATTTCTTTTTGGGGGTGAATCCCTGTATTCCTCATGCATTAGATGGTAGTTTATTCTGTGAACACTTTTGCTCTGTTCATGACCATTTTTTATTTTACTTTTCACCTCCAGCTCTTAAATTTATTGCTGTTTATAAGAAATTCATTTTGAAGATGCAAGCAAAAAGCAAAGGTTCTAAAGACAACCTTGTTCTTGAATTTGGAATAACTAACGTTTCTTTTATAGGTCACAAATATTCAAGCAAGAACAGCTTTACTTACGTGGTCACCTCCCACCGGCCTTTTAAATGCAGATAGACACAGCAACGGTTTGCCTTACACCTGTACTTACGAGGTTGCCTTATCAGATAAAGGAAGAGATGGAAAATACAAGATAATTTACAGGTAATGGTATCATTTCTGTGTTACTCTCAAATTCTGGTTCCATTAGACAGAATCTTTCTTAGCTTTCAGGGCCTATGTGCGCATCCACATCCGCTGCATGAAGTAGGACTGTTCTGGCCGCCTGCAATTCCTTCCATTTCTCCCCTATATCCTCAGGGAAGATCTCAGCGATCATCTGAGCTTATTTTGTGATTGAGTACATATGGTTATGCCTTTTCTTTTTTTCTCCTCTAATGATGTCTAGGATAGAAAACTGATATGTGACCTTGACTACTCTGACTATTTGTTGTTTCTCATATTTCAATAAAATAATGACTAAACCCAACAGATACATGGGGTGATTGTTGCTGTATTAAGCACTGGCCCATACTTTACCTGTCACAACAGCAGCAATGCACAAGTCGGTCTAGTCTTTATTTAGCAGCAGACAAGCTGGAGGAACAAGAAGGAGGAACAAGAACAACCCTGAACTACACTGGCTACTTCTGAAATTAAATAAATTTTGTGCTGTTGCTTCCTAGAATGTCTGAAAATCAGTTCTACTTTTCTTGCCTTGGAAGAGAGGTCTGGGTCTGCCTGTCAGATGGTTAATTGCACATCTCCTTGCCATGGTCCCATGGCAAACAGGGTCTGGAAGAGAGGGCGAAACAGTTGTGCAACGAACTACTTTTTAGCTGTGAAGATTGCCTCTCACATTTTCTAAGGTAGTTTGAAATAGTAAATATGCAAGAAGTGCAACAGTCATCCTGTATTTATTCAGCTCCTTTCAACTCCGAGAAGGCAGAAAAATACAAGAAGCTTTATATGATTATCAGCAGATGTAAGGATAGCCCTGAAATTATCCCATATAGTTAGCTGAATTTATAGACTAGGAACATAGCTGCTCTGCAGTTCAGGCTTTGTAAGGGTTTCCAGAAGCCTGAAGTGCACGGACAGATCAGACCTGTATTTCTTACTATTATTTTTCTGTGATGGATTTTTTTTTTTCCAAATCATAATACGTAGGAGTCCCTAGTCACTGGCAGATCAATAGCTGCACCAAATATGATACTGATTTTCATGATGTGTTTATGGTTTGTTTTTGCAGTGGAGAAGAACTAGAATATAACCTGAAAGACCTTAGGCCAGCAACAGATTATCATGTCAGGTGAGTCTGCGTGACTCCAAATGTCACTCAAATATAGTCTGTTCAGGTATGTGAGAATAAACGTGGAAATTTTTTATCTAAATATATGCAGCACAACTCAAAATTTTTGTGGTCACTTCTGTGGGATTTCTTTCATGCCTCCTAGTGTTCATTGATCCCTTTTATTTTAGCCTCAAAGCTATGAGAGAGCTTTTTGAACCTGAACTTTTCTGTCATATTGTTGTCATTGCTAAAGGAAGAGTAAGGGAGTGTCTACCTATACTTGCATTGGTTACACAGTTATTAACATATTCTCAATTTTAAGCCTGGATATTTTAATACCAGCTTTTTATTGTCTGTTGCGTTTTTGAAAGATTTTGCTTATGAACCAAGACTTCAAATTCACATCCTGTTCACTTATGCTCAACAGCCTTTTAAAAAATTCCTTTCACTCCTGTCTATTGTTTCCTTCTGTTTTTCCAGACAAGCCCTAAGTTTGGCAAACATTCTCTCATCAAGGCTGTTACTGTTTGCAATACTTTAGAAAGCAAACACTCTTCTTCTAAACTCCTAAAAACCAAAAAGTCTCACTTTCTCTAATATCATAGCTTCTTTTTAAGAATATTTTCTAATACACTTTTCAAGGAGAAGCTCAAGATCCTAAGTAACTTCTAAGTAAGGGAAATGCACCAGTTCAAGCAAGAAAGTTGTAAAACGCTGCTTCTAAAGCAAGTTTCTGACAGCAAAGTGATACCCACGTCCTGGGCACTCTGGAGATCTCAGGCAGTTTTTAATGGTGCACAGGGTATTTGCCCTATGTCCTGGCTACCTTCCAAATTGGTCTGTTCTGACCACATAGAGTTCCCTGTATTTTTCTGCATGTTTGCCAAATTATAACTCATTTGTGAACACTTAGCAGTAACTTTCGTTTAGAAAGAATAAGCAACTGCCAGATATGAAAGTCAGCCTTAAAAGCAGCAGTGTGCATTTGTGGTGGGGAAACATTAAAAGCAGAGAGTTTGTTTTCTTTCTTTTTTTTTTCCTTTGTTAAAACTCCAGTCTGCATTAACAACTCTAAAGAAATAAATCTGCTAAATAAAGAAATTTGTGACCAACAGTTACAGATCTTCTTGGCCATCTTTAATCTCAGCAGCATCTCTGAGGGCTGTTTTTTTTCCACGCAGATAAACTGGGGGCTTATTGCTGCTCTGTGAGGCCCTAGACACTTGGGATAACCTGCTTCCATATGAATCTCACATTTCTTCAAGTTATCTGAGTGGTTACAGAGGTGATTCTGCACACCTATTGGAGGGCCCTTTTATGCTTAAACCTTTAATCTCCTGAGAGGCCCCTATTGCACAAGGAATTCTGCCACAGGAATTCCAGAGCCGCTTATTTCCAGGACACTTGTTTTCCTTCGTTTTTCAGGAGCTTGTATTACACCCCAGAGTAGGCAGTAGCATTGCAGTAATGAACACTGACAAGCAAAGCTCAGGTACCACGGCAACGTCCAACAGGCAGAAGCAAAAGTGCAATTTCCCCTTGACTTGTAGGAGATGTTCTTGTTAAACTCGTTTTTATGTGGTTGTGTTCCCCAGTGATGTGTCTGGGACTCGGAGCTGCTCTGGTTTCCAGGACACATGCATACGGTGTATCCAGTTGCCAGATGCAGCCTCAATTAATTAATTGCATTTGCTTTCACTCCTGACTGCTAACAGAAGATATATAAAGCAGCACTACATGATATTTCTACCAAGGGCAAGCAGCTCTTGTGAATTCCCCCCAAAGGTTTAATTCTACGTAGGTGGTCACTGCACGTAAATTACTCTTATCTACTGAAAACAAATTAGAAATTGCCCTTTCTTAAACTCTACATTCAAGCACACAATAGCTGCAGCCAGCCCTGAGGTCACTGTCTGGGCACAGTGCAAATGTTTTGTGAGTCGAAGACTTGCAACTCGCACTTTCCTTTTGCTGTGCAGAAAATGTGACAGGAAAAATAACATTAATTTTCAGAGAAAAGCACCTGATGAGGAGGTGCACAAATACATTGTACTTGTTTTCCCATATTAGTTTGCAGCGTATTCCTTTTTTTTGCTGACATTAGGGGATTTGCTTGAAATCAAGATTTTTAGTTTATCAAAGGAATGTTTTTGAGCTATTTCTATTACAGCATTAGTTTTTAATTCACAGAGCTCTACTGAATATTGACACAGGAGAAACTTACACCTCTGGAAGGGCAGCAGCAATAGCTATCACTGAAAGCAGTACATGTACATCAAATTTAAGCAGGGCATTGACATTCACACCTTTTCCTCATGAGCTCAGACTTGCTGTTGTCTGTTGGAAAGGATGCGAGTGCATGAAGTACAGCCAGGAGCCGTGGAAAGAATGGCAGGGACTTGGTGCAGTCAAAAGAAAAGCTGACGATATCTCAGCTGCCTGTGGGAGCAATTGCATAAGACACCATCATGATTGTCTGCTGTGAATTTGATGTTTTGCAGGAGAGTAGTGGTAGCCCCTGGTTTGGGAGAGATCTGTCATTAGTGGGTGTCCTCGGGGATGCTTTGGAAGTCAGATACTGTCCTGGAGGCAGCGCACTCTCCTTTTGCAATGGCCAGGACGTTGATAACGCGTGTGCCCGTGTGTCCTTCCGCAGGGTACACGTCATCTACAACTCGGTCAAGGGCTCGTGCTCGGAGCCGGCGAGCTTCTCCACGCCGAGCTGCACCCCGGAGCCTCCCTTCCCACCCAAGCCCTCGCACCGGACCAAGAGCTCCCTCACCTTGCAGTGGAAGGTAAGTAGCACCGGGACCAGGCGCTTGAAAAAGGAGGGAGAAATCCACTTTACTGGCATAAGCACGGAAAATACTGGAAAGCCGAGACAACCGTTTTCCAGTATAACAGACCTGAACTCGCTGTGCTCCAATGAAGCCCTCCTATGCACTGACATAGCGCATGACTTTTAAAATGTGTGTGTTTCATTACCATCAGCTTCTTCCCGTTATTGGTTACCCTGAGCTTTGGTTTCACTTCAGACTGTAGTCATTTGCCTGAGGGGGACGTAGTTTTCTCTTATTCCCAAAATCGCCTTTTGTTTATTTTTGTTCATAGGCACCCATTGATAATGGTTCAAAAATCACCAGCTACCTTCTAGAATGGGATGAGGTAAGTAGTAACTAGTTGAAATAAATACATAAATAAATGGCACTCAGACTTTGCAAGGATTTGACGGGTAAAGAAAAATAATTAAATACAGGGGAAACTAAAAGTAAGAAAATGAAATCCTGATGACATTAGATAAAGATCTCGAAAGGTGAAAGGGCAATGAGGGGAGTACTTTTCATCCGGTGTGTTTTTTGCAGAGACAATATTCTGCTTCTGCATACTTGAAACTTAACTTTTTAGTGCTCATTCGGTGCAGTTAATTTGTTAATTGGCATTACGTATTGTTATTTACCTTGTGATGGAACTTAGAGTTCTAGTCACACTCTCCTTCTGCATGCTGTGTAAACACGGAATAAAGCTCTGTTCCTGCCTCAAAGGAGATGGGGATCTTGCAGTCCTTTTTATAAACAATGCATTTGAGGCCCCAAAATTGTTGCCCATTACATATGGGTGACTAGTCCTCTTACAGACACAATGGAGAATAAGTTCTCTGCCCCAAAGACCTTGATCTTCTTCCTCGGTTTGCCTTAACGCCTTCTTTCCATTGCACAAGCCATATTTTTGTGTAAAGCATGAGTCAGTGAACATCATCTTTGAAGGAAAAAAATATGTTTTGGATGACAGAACTAGCTTGAGCAACATGTTTAGAAAGAACAAAAATAAAAAGGATAAGTGTGGAAGGCTGTTTAGAAATTGTGCAGTCTGATAAACCTCTTCTGAGGTCTTTAGTATTTTTCAGGTAGTGTTTTAAGAGGGGTATTATGTTATGAATCATTTTCCATCATTTGACTAGTAGCAGGTTCCCAGACCATTCTGCTACATGTCTGGCATTAGGGACCTCACACTGTGCAGACATTTGGCGTATGTGGTGTCACAGCAAGTGGGACCAGCACGATGAGAAACCCGCTGAACTGAACCAAAATCCGACAACAGCTTAAGAATGGCCTGCTGCCCCTGTCTGAATAACGCAGGGAAAGGTTGTCAGGGAAAAAGAAAAAATGATGGAATATGACATCTCAGGAAGGAAATAATAAAATCTCCGTAAGAATTGGCCAAGTTAGAGACATGAGCCCTGAAACCTACTGTACCTTCTGCAGCATCTAGATTGTGCATTTGTTTTCTCTTGCAATGCTTCCATAATTTCCATGGGAAGATAATACCAAAGAGGAATGAAGTAGTGGAAATGTGCAAAGGGGAAGTAACAAAAGATCCTGTCAGAAGAAAGACCATAACAAACCATTAACACGGTGCATGTGCTTTGAGTGTTATTTTTTCCACTTGCAACCCAATCAAAACCTTGAATTTGTGTAAGAGTTGTAAATGCTGTCATCCTATAAAGCCTTTCACATTTATCATACCTAGAGGTTCATCTTTGGGAGGAATTGTTGTTGCAACTATTTCGACAAGCTAAAAGTTGTTTTAGGCTACCCCATTTACCCATAGGAAAAAAAAGAAAAGAAAAAATCCTGGTTTTCTGGTTCACAGTCTAGCTATTTTAATTACCTTATTTTCTCAGTAGCAGTCTTGAAATTTGAGTTCCTAGTGTACGGGAACTACCAAAGTAGCTGAAGTCACCGCGTGTGGGCACAAAAGAGCATTTCCATGTCCTGTCCTGTGCCTTTTATCGGGCTTATGTAAAAACCACGTAAGCAAAAGCAGCAACTTGGTTACAGGGCCACGCTGTGTCCTGGTGAAATCAAGAATGACGTTACCCGGGGAGGAGGAAAACGCGGCCAGGCCGTGGTGGAAGCTCCGCCAGGTCTCAGCGAGGGCAGCGCTCCTTAGCTGCAGGGCACAGGATGAAATATAAACCCAGGAAAACGGTGATTAGAGGGAAATTAAATTGTGCGAGTGGAGAAGAAGAAATCTATCCACTAATAATATCTATCCACTAATAATCTATCTGCTAATAATAAAAGGAGGGCGTGATATTTTATAGCCATGGGACTAGAGGAGGTTGGAAACTGGAGCAAGAGGACAGCGTCTAATCCCTTGGTGGCTGCAGCTGCTAAAACTGCCGGGGCTGAAGTGTTTAAAATTCCAGCTTGTCATTAGGGGATCTCGTTAGGACTTGGCCACGGCGCATATCCCACCACGTGCCTTGCAGCAGGATGGGCGCAGAGCTCCGAGAGCTGCTCGAAGGACATAGAAAGACCTTCCAAAAGGAACTTATCAATACATCTAGTGTATGTTTTAGTTGTTTTAGTTGCTGCCATGCAGATTATGTGCATTGCTGTGGAAAAGACTTTGTTTCCACGGGTGTTTCGGGAGCCCACGCAGAGCTGGAGACCTGAGCAACCTTCTCGTGGCGGTTGCGGAGGCCGGGAATGGGATGCCTGTCAGCAAGAAGGATGGGTTTGTGTAAAGATATTTCCTCTTGGAGCTTTACTGGAGATAAGGCTTGAGTTATCTCCGCAAGTAATTGGTTTGCTTGGTTTCTGGAGTTTGTTACGCTTTTATTTCCCCTCTGTGCTAAAAGTCCTCATTGAGCTCATTAGCTGAGCTTTAGCAGAAGCACATGTGAGTTGGGTTTGTTTCTTTATTGCGACAGATATCCTTATATCTGATCTGCTTTTGACAAGAGGCCGTTGCATTGTGTGAGTTTTACCCAGCTTCTTTCTGTTCTTCAGTTTAGTCCCAAGTTGTTGGTTTTTTGTTTTCCCCTGACCTGTCAACTCCAGAAAATAGCATGGCAGAAATACCTGCCCTTCTGTCCTCTCACCTCCCAGCTTGGATTAAGTTGCTTGTAGTATGACCAATGTTAACATTTTATTTAGAAGATGCAAAGGTGTCTTGCTTTCTCAGTACCAAAGCAGGTCTTTCAATTACCCTTCTAATGCTTTGCTAATAAACTCTTTTAGCTTAAACTGCCTAAAGAACTAGGGTGAACATTCTTTAACAGCAGAATAAAAGATCAATTTAGTGACTGATCATCCAGTGAAACTGGATGTACAGTATCAAAGTTTTTGTGACTTCAAAGGGTTTGGAAACAGCCCCTCTTCTCAAGTATTTTGGAGGTCACTGAGATCCGGAAACCTCAAGTGTTTACCAATGGTGTGGCTGGCAACTGCTTCGCTTAGAAGTGGCAATTAAGGAAATCTTCACCTTCTGCCTGTCTTTTGTGTGTGTGTTTCTCTTTGAATTTACAAGCTAAGAGTAGGCACTTGACAACTTTGTGCCAATATTGATCAACCGGGGTAAATAAAAGGCTGATCAGAAAAAAGTATATTAAAAAATACCTAACGGAAAACATCACTGTAGAGGACGTGATGCTTCCTTCTGATCGCAGTGTTCAAAAAATCTGTGGCTGATAACTGTAGTGGGCTCCTGTCACTGGTGCAAGACTGGTACCTTTGTTCCTCTTTGGATATGAAGTGATCTTGTTGTGGTTAAGTGGTGGCACATAAAGGTTTCTGCTGGGTGAGCAAATAACAAGTCTGCTATTCATTTTCTATGGGAAAGCAGAGAACTACTCCAGAGGCAGCAACAAGGACATCTCACTCACTCATGCAGTTTTGCTCTCCGTATATAACTCGAAAGCAGATTTAATTCTGATGTGACAAATGTTCATTTTCGTTTACACAGGATTGATGCAGATGCATTACTAGACGATTTAATGGGTTGGTGGTGAAAAGTTAATAGTTAAGTTTATATATTAATAGGTAGAGATTAAAAAGCTTGCAATTCCTTGAGACTAGCAGGAATATGCTACCTTATACTATCTGATAGTCTGGTCCTTGTATCTTCATGATGATCCATCATAATTCAGAGTTCCACTCTCACGCTCAGGCTTGTATTTCTTTGCCCTCCAGGTCTGTTCTCTGGCTATGCCACTGATATTAGACATGCAAGAGGGGTGTCTCCGGTTATATTTAATGCCTAGGGGTGCCTCAGGTCCTGTTCTGTTTTCTGCATATATAGAAAATATAGTCATTTATCAAAAAAAAATTTGAAAAAAAAGGGCCAGCTCAGTAAATGTTTTGCTGTGATATTAAGGTGCTTTATAATAACCATTGGCAATTTGTTCCACAGCTCTGTGTCAGATTGAATATCAGTCTGTTGCTTTTTATTGCCAGTGTGAACCAAATAGAAGAAGTTAATGCTAGTACGGCCTGGAAGAGATTACCGGCTGGCCTTGCGATCGCAGTTCTGTGCTGGCAGCTTTTACTCCCTCTTTTTGAGGGACCGTGCTCTGGTTCTGGATCCACTCTACCTGCACTGGCTTATTCTTTATTTCGTGTTTACTGCTTTGTCTGCTCTGTGGAGTACAGTCAATAGAAGCTGTTTAAGATCTCGTAACCACTATCTAAACATGCTTTTGGATAGTCTCGCCAAGGGAGACTTGAGCACTCTGCTTTAAAGGAGTGGTTACATATAAGTGCAATGGCAGGCAAGACATTTTTGTCTATACTGTGTTATAGTATCATGCAAATTCTAGTGGATTTGTGGAGCTGAACTTGTTTCCTTGGGCAGGTCCTGATTGTCTCCACAGTATCCTGAGTACCAACAAGACTGTCGGATTGGAGAAGACAGGACTGGTGAAGCAGGCAGGCAGTGTCTGCTTTCCATCTGAAACTTGAGGATTCGAAAGATTGGAGGAAATGATAAAGTATATTTTAAGCAACTTACAAAACATTATCTGAAGGATTAAAACGTGGATGCTGAGTTTACAAAGAATAAGAGAGGAAGGATTCTGGGAAAGCTGCAAGAGTCTTGGGTGGCAGCCAGTACCAGCCTGCCAGTTGCTCTTGTCTATAATTGTGCCAGCATTAGAGCTCCCATAAATCTTGGGAGGGAAGGAGTGGAGAGACTATTTCCAGGCTATTAATGCCAGGATAATTAGAAATATCGGCCAGCCTCTCCAGTTAATGCCAATAGAATCCAAAATACCAGCCAGTCTGAGTAACTGGAATACCAGTTGGTCTCTGAGCATGTCTGGGGAATGTACAATACCAGCTCTCGAAGAAAAATAGATATAAACACACATTTTTGTTGTGTTATTACTATAAAGCTGAAGATAACATAAGTGTTTGGGGGTCTTTGCAAAGATCTAAGCCACCAGTTTGAAAATCCGGAATTTTTTCGGAGACTTGCTTATATTTTAGGCACCGTAGCTGACATGCTACAGGTGATGCTTCCCTGGGACTTTGCTCTTCAGGCAGCCGTCACAGCTCATCTGTTTTATCAATCCACGCTCTGAGCCTTTGGCCACCGTCATTCACTAGGGAGGGAAAGCATAGGAAAATGATCAAGTAAAAATGTATTCTTAAGCAGAAAGAAAAAGGAAAAAGCCTTTTGTTTTTGAATGCTTTAAAAATACAGAAGTCAGAATGATTTTAAAGTGTTAAGGAGAAAATAAATCAAAGCATCTGTATGTGTATAAGAGAGCTTATGGAGGAAAAAATTTTAGACAATATTAGACATATTTACTAAGACACTAGATTGGTAATTCTCTTTTGTGTAAGCTGGATATTAAATATATTACATCAGAGCTGTCACCCATTACTTTTCTCCAAAAGGATTTCTATGAAATAACTGTGTGCCCAGGATTTAAGATCTGATTAATGTCTTCCCATATATAAAGAACTTTTGTTTTAGAATTAATTATTCTCTTCCAATTTTACACCTTAATTTAGCTGCTCTGCAAAGCAGAGTCACAACCAGACCAGGTGCAAAAATTTTCAAAAGACTGTGTATAAAAACAAGTTCTAGAACTAATGTAGGCTATTGCTGTGTACATAAAAGTAAGTTATGGCTCTTTTCCAGTGTACTAAATGTCCCTGAGGTGCCTCCAAATTGTTGTGCAGTGCAGGAGGTGAACAATTTCTAGCTAGATAAACACATTTTGGAGATTTACTGCAAACTTTTTGTGAAATTCTTGTTTCTGTGATGCAGTTTGAGTGAAAAGAGGTGGAAATGGATGTGGGCTAAAGAATGGGCCAGCAAAAAAATGTTTCCCACTTGGACATTTTTGCAATCATTAAAGATAAAACGATGTATTGCCTGTGGAAGAGGTAGGGTGCATGGGAGGCAAGACAGTGTTCTTGGAGGCGTCAGGACATTAGGCCCTTAGCTGCATGGAGGGGCATCTCAATAAACAATTCCCCTGATGGTCAGCCTAGGAAATGTGGAGTCTTCTGCCAAGCTACTGTGTCACATGAAATGCATAGTCTTGTCTAGTCTTGCCTAGGCTCTCAGGACCTGAGTTTTACCAAGAAAACCTGTAGAGATAGGTGCCAAAAATGGCATTGCGGAGCTGCTTATGCTAGAAGAAGTTGCAGAGATGACCACTAGTTTGCTCTCGGGGGCCAGTTTGAGCACATGATTAGGTAGGGTGGGTTTGTTGGGTAGGTTTTTCATCTGCTCTACTTCTAGGTACTTCTACTTCATTATTGTCTCTTACTTTTTCATTTCAGTTTTGAAATGAAACCTCTCATCATCATCACCTCTCTAATTCCTGCAGGTCTATTCTCAGTCCTAAAAGATTTCAAAGCAAATATTTCCTCTGTGTGAGCAGTCAGACACAGAAAAAGACCAATTTCTCTTGGACATCTGCAGAAGCCTCAGCTGTGTTTTTATCCTGAATAGACCATACAAAGTTGGGCTGGGTGGAAAAGGATTTTGCTTTCTGTTAAATGTGGAGGGGAGGGAGAGAGCTTTTCAATGTTCCTGTCCTCAGCTGTAAGGTGTTTGATGTACCTTAGGAAGGGCTTGGGAGCTGGAGAGGTGTCTCGATATCATTTCTTGCTCTTATGTTATCTTGGCTTTATCAGAGCTCATACTAGCCCCAGGTCAGATTAATGGGAAGTTCCCACAAAGAGGACCTCTTGGAAAGCCAAGTTTCTTAAAGTTTACTGCTGTCTAACAAATCCTCCCGTGCCTTGGCCGACCGTGGGGAGCGAGAGCCCTCTTGTGGGATGAAGCATTTTTGAAGGATTCACGGAGAATTCGCGCTGCCAAGAAACTTTGGTTGCAAGTTTTCTGTGAGCCTGTGACCTGATTCTTTCAGAGACGGATTTCACATTTAGCTTGTAAACTTTTTGTCTAATAAGTAGGATGAATTGCAATTCAGGTGAAAGGACAGGAGCTGAAATGCATCTCATGGAGATAGAAATCTGATAGGAAAAGGAATCTGACAGCAGACTGACTGTGCTGATAAGTCTTATTTTAAATAACATAGCAATGCTGTCAGTGACTTTCACGTCTTTGCACAGAGCTTGTATAAAAGTATTGAGTTATAACATCATTCAACAGTTATTTTTCAAAGGAAGAAATAAAGTAAGCAATGCATGCTTTCATTTCATAGCTCTCCAGTTATGGCTCGTTTTCTTTCTAGGGAAAAAGAAACAGTGGTTTCAGAGAATGTTACTTCGGAAGCCAGAAGCACTGCAAGTTGACCAAGCTTTGCCCAGCTTTGGGATACACCTTCCGATTAGCAGCTCAGAATGACATTGGTACTAGGTAAGTTATTCCTAAGCACTGCACTCGCACAGAGAAGAGGTGACAGTTAAAAGGTTTAACTCACGGTGGCAATGTAAAGTGGGGCTTCTGTTTTTTCTTTTTCTTTCCTTTTTATCTGTTTTTAATGCAAGAAGAATACATCTCTTATATAAAATTCCCACTGGGGACCTCTGTGAACCAAGAAAAACAAACAAGAGGAAGCAGAGTTACAGATTTTGAAAGGAATTTTGATGTATTTATTTTTTTATTTTAAATCAATGTCCTTCTGTCTTTTTTCACCAGTACAGCCTCTTCCTTCTTCGGCAGGGCTGGCAAGTAGGATGGGAAAGAAGGGTGTAAGAGCCAGGACCAAGATAGGACAGACACAGCACAAGGACCCTGGTTCCCTATACCTTGTGTTGCACTTCCCTCTGAAAATAGACATCATATGAACATGATGAAAAATCAGATTTATTCCAGTCCTCACGGATTTGAGATGCTGTAGGTAGCACTGGGCTGAGATGTTACACAGCTAAGGATGGAGCAAGAAAGTCTAGTGGTGAAGAAGCTGAAGTAATTTTGAAACAGTGTTTTTATATACTCAGTTATGGTCCTTAGCTAGACTTTATTCAGTAATAAATTATTGCACAGTGGGAAAAGAAATGCACTGGTGTACCTATTCCCAAAGATCAAACTCCTAACAATATATAGCTTTAAGATGTTACTTGAATCACGTGTTTGAAGGAAGAACAGCTTTATGTTCACCTTCAAATGCAGATGAATTTGAGAAAGTTAGAGAGGTGGAGAGCCAGCCTGGAGAGGTAGGAGTTACCAAAAAACTTCCACATGATGTTCAGCATGGTCATGACTGGCTGAGTTTTCCTGGCTTTTTTTGGATGTGGGAGTGAATTTGCTGAAATGCTCAGCTTTCACAGCTCTAACTTATCCAGAATTTATATTTTGAGTTTGTAAATGGCAGAAATTGCCAAACGAGCCTTTTTATCTCAAGTTCAACTTGACTAATAGTTCTAAATTTTCTAAAAGATCTAAAAGTTAACAGCTTGGGCTTTGTGTTTCAGTTCTCCTTTGTAAAATTGAGATAACCATTCTACCTCACACTTAATATTTTTCAGGCAGTCAAATAGTATATTTTCAAATAATATTGTGATAATATCTGCAGAAATGACTGTGAAGACACAGATAATCCTGAATTAATTTTCATTCTTGTTCTGGTATTTCCTAATTTTGCTTGCTATAACCTGGGCAATTTTAATATTGTTTAGAGCTCTTAAAATATTAACTGTATGTCTGACTATATATGTTTTTAATGTCCCTCTTTCTCTCCCTCGCTGTGCAGTGGGTACAGCCAGGAAGTGGTCTGTTACACTGCAGGTAATATTCCCCAGACACCGTCTGCGCCAAGGCTTGTTCGAGCTGGTGTCACATGGATCACGTTGCAGTGGAATAAAGTAGAAGGATGTACGCCAGAGGAAGTGATTTCTTACACCCTGGAAATTCAGGAAGAAGATAATGTAAGTGCTGTGTTGCCAATGAGAAGCTCAGAGTGGGTTTACGTTTATTAATTGGTTTATTTCAATTTCATTGAGAAGACTGTGAGTTGCTATTGTAGAGAGCCATTTTTAATATTCTTATAATGATTATATGAGGACTCTTTAAAGCTTTACGAAATAGAAAAGTTATTTGAATAAAACAACATATATAAGATGGAACCTGAAGCTAGGTCACATATTTTAGGCTGCATTGCTTAAATTAAATTCTCTTCTGCTTTTCATAATTTGTTTTTTCTAAATACATTTCACAACTCTGCTTCCATTGAATGGATGCCTTTCCAGAAATGCTTACGGGTACAGCCTGAGAGCTGGTGGACTTTCTGTTCTCTCCATTTTCCCCCTCCTCTGCAAGCAGCTGGAAGTGGAGGAGGACCCCAAGTCAGGCACCGACTTGGCAGGAGGGAGCTCAGTGATTTCTTCTGCTCCCTACTGGCAACTAGATCCTTAGTTAAGCTGCTTAAAAATCTGTTTTGTTATCCAGAACTCCCTTGCAAAACTGCACAGGAGTCCAGAGGATATAAGGCAGTTTGTCCTTAGCTAGTTCAATCGTCCATGTTCTGCTCACACCCGTGTGGTCTGCTTGCAGATCTGACACTTTTGGAAACTTTCAGAGCCAAGTCTTGTGACCTAATACATTACAACAACAACAAAAGCCACTCCACTTTAACACCTTTTTGATACAAATGTGCTCTAGCTGCATATCGTAAGCTAGAGAGCGCTTATTCAAACTTCCTAGTTATGGCAACGTGTTTATTTTTGCTTTTTTTCTAGGATACTGTGTTTCACCCAAAGTACACTGGAGAGGAGCAAACCTGTACTGTGAAGAATCTCAGAAGAAGCACACAGTATAAATTTAGGGTAAATTTAGAGGAGGTCATTTTCCTGTCGTCATTCAATAGTATTTTGCGTGTTGTTTGCTTTTGTCCAGGCACTGTAGGGACCCTTTATTAATGCCTGCAAAACTGAGCCATCAAATACAAATTCCACTAATGATATAAGGAATTATTTTATACTGAGACTGGAAATATTAAAATGGTAGTCCTAATTTAACCATAGAAGTTCCTCATTGCTCAGATTTTCTGAAACAGGCATAGTTCTTGATACTGTGTGCTATAGAGTACAGTCTTGTAAAAAGATGAATTTGGGTCTGAGGTGATACTGGATTTTCTTTTCCTTAAGAGACATGGCTCTTAGGTGAGCACAGGTCTTTGCTGTGCTTTGGTTTAGCGGGTGTTAATATCTCCTGCTCTGTGAGTGCTCCAGAGCTGACAGGCCTCCCATGCAGATACCTTGAAATCTATTTCTGCACATGCAGAAGTCAGAAATCTGCCTTATTGACTCTTGAAGCCATGCGGCACAGTAGAAATGCTGTGCTCAAGTGGAAAAGAAGGGTGATTTTTCCCAAATCAAGGTGTTTTGAAGCAGGACGGGCTCCCGTGGCAGCATTTGCAGCGTCGGGGCGGTGGAGGGCGTCCTGCTCCAGGAGATGGAGATCCCGCTCCTGCAACGCTCGTGGTCTCTGTGCTTGCACACTGTGCTTGCACACTGCTGTTGCCAACAGCACGGGGTCTGGGAACAGGGTTTTGTCACTCAGAAGCGACACGGTGAGAGCAGGATGTGATAGGTTTGGATCAGCACAAAAATACTTGGCTTTCCTCGATCTTAACATGTTCAGTAGCAACAGAAGAAAATCACACTGAATTGCTTAAAGCTTGAAAAACAACCTTGCATAAATTGCCTCATGGGACAGAAGCTTTGTAAAGTTGTATAAAGAACTAGCTAAAGAATCAGAAAGCTGTCAAGGTTGCACTAGGAGATGAAAATAAAAACATATTTTAGTTTTGTATTGCAAAAGCTCCTGTGATTTTCTATGGGAAGATTGTTGAGTAGTGGATTTTTTTATTTGTTTGTTTTAATTTTACATTAAAAATGAATGTGTCCAAGCTGCATTGATGTTGCAGTGAACTGCATTTCTTCCTCCTATTGCTGACTGCCAGCACAACCCTGAGCTGCCAGTGCTGAGCTATTTGCTCGTGCACTGTGCAGACTGTGCAGGGTTCGTTAGCCATACAACATAGATAAGGAGTCCCAAAGCTGTAAAAAAACCTGATCCTGTGGCAGTATTTTTATACTGGCTAAGTCTCAACTTGTCTTTGAACCTTGGCAAAGTGATGGGTTGACGAATATGGGACTTGTGCTAATAAAACTGAAAGGGGAAATTTAATTCCTACTATTCCATGCGTGCTTACAGAATATGTACCCTGCTTAGCTAGCATTTTTGATGGAATTAGTTTGGTTCATTACGGTGATAATGGAAGCATAATATACCTTTGTAAAATGGCCCATTTAATATGGAATGAGGGTTTGAGAAAGAAGAATAAATGATAGAAATCTTAATATGAAAATGTGCAGAAACCATATTCTCTGAAATGTTTGAAAGTTCAGCACAAAAAGGAATCACCAGTGGCTCTTCCCAGTGCTGCTGTACACTTTCTCATTGTTTTAAAGTAACCTGGAAGGAAATAAGGTTTTATTTCTAGTGACAGGATGGAGGACTCTAGGCTGGGGAAGCCGTGTCTCTGAGAAAGAGCTGAAAGTTTAATAAGAATTTTCAGTTCCTACGAGGCTAGTACAGTCTTTAGCTATATAAAGAAGGTAATGTATAAGTTTAAGAAATAATGTTTTACTAGTTTAAAAAATAGAGTTTTATTGCATCTGTATCTGGCACTGATCCCTAGTGTTGTTGCTTGGATGTTTGGCTAGTTCATGTATCTGTTGATTGCGTTAAGGCTTCTTAAATGGAAATGGAAAAATATTCAGGGAAGAAGCAAGATGAATAAATGATTAGAAAGTACAACACTTTTTTAATGCCACAACCTCAATTGATTTAATTTAATTTAGCAGGTAGACAGGTCAATTGGGATCTCCAGTGTGGATGAAACTTTGATAACTTGCTGTTCAATCTAGCAGGTCAAAAAGTGTTCATTTCCATTTGCAGAAAATTGCAGGCCAAGCAAATTCAGGTGTTTTCAGGAGAAACACATGGATGGTAACGATTGTTTGGTTCTTTTTGCCGTCATTTTTTTAATGTTGAGATCAGATACAAATGGAAATGATATGTCCTAGTTCACACAGAAATGAATATAGACTTTAATAGCTTTATGAAGCAGGAGCATGGACGAGAGAATGGCTTTTTTTTTGGCCTTAAAATTCATAAATTGTTTTATTTTGAAGGCCTTTGTTAGGAGAGATGATAGAAATGATTGTGGCAGAACTTTTGAAAGTGAAAATCTATGTTCACAATTAGCAATTATAGTAAATATTTCATCACTCATTTCCTTGGCAGCAGATTTAAGTCCCAAATATTAGTATGAACTAACATGACTCCCACTAGCCACAGTTGGACCATTTGGGGTTCTAACATGACTGGGATCTGCTCACTGTCATGGCCAGGTCCTAATGTCTTCTCCTGGCTCAGCACCATTCTCACTGAAGTCTACAGAAAATATTCTTGAATAGATCCAAAATTTTGGCTGAAAATATTTATTTTGTGTGCACCCTGCTAGTTTCAATAACTACAAAAGAAGCACTTGTTATTGACTGCCGTTCTGCCTAAGTGTTTGATTGTGTGATACTGATATTCTTAAGCAATTTCTTTTAAATACTGTTTGAGATGCCGCTAAAATAAAAAGAGCATATTTGCTGTCATTATTTCCATCTTCTATGAATATTTTCTATATGAATATTTTACATCTTCCTAGAATATGTATAACTACAGGGGCTGGCATGAGTTTTAAAGGAGAAAACCTCTAATTTTCATATCCAGACTTACTATGATATAGTACTAGTGGAGCACTAGCAAATTCCTTGTGATTCTGGGGAAAAAACATGACAATCAGATATTTAATGTTAGAAGCCCACATTCTTTGGGATCTGATGTGCTTTCTGTTTTAACACTTCCCTTAACAGTTGCACAAATATTATGGAGAGCTATCAGAAAACGAAATAATATTATTTTTGCTGTGTTTTTCTTTCAGTTGTTTGCTTCTAATGTGGAAGGAAAGAGTTCTCCAAGTGAAATTTTGGTCTGTACCACAAGCCCAGACAGACCAGGACCTCCAACCAGGCCCATAATTAAAGGGCCGATAACATCCCATGGCTTTAGTGTCAAATGGGGTAAGCCAACCCAGTTTTTCATGCTACAGCTTTTGCAGGTCATTATATACATTACTGATTTCAAGTCAAATTATGCAGACACATCATGTCACTCAGATGTCGCTCAGATGCAGACACTCAGATTTTTCATGTAGCTTCTCAGCTTGGAGCTGAATGTGTTGGAGAGCTTCACAGCTCTAGTTGTTTGACTACTCAAAAAGCACTAAAGTGTAAAACCACTTGTTTGCCAAGGCAAAAACATTGTTTGCTTTGGTTAATTAAGTTGTGCTTTCACTTGACTGCCATGTCCAGGGTTTGCATGGTCCCTTTCATGTCCCTTTTCACATGCACGCTGCCCATCAGTCTGCTTCCTTCAGCAGGGATGCAAACCTCCATACTTAGCACAAATATTTGTATCTTTTTTCATTTTTCCATATATTTTATCTTTCTGAGATGTTATCCAGCCACTTTATTTTGACTCATTTAAAAAAAAATAATTTGTACTGCCAACTTCTGCTATAAGACTTCCCTCCTCAAGTTAAGTGTGGGGGAGTTTGTTTGTGAGGGAGAAAGAGCAGAAGCAGAATTAGTTTCTGTTAACTTTACCTTCTATTTTACCCCTAATCTGATGTAGTGATGACTTGCCTTGTTTTTCAGATCCCCCGCAGGATAATGGTGGTTCAGAAATTCTAAAATACCTATTAGAGATTTCCCAAGGAAATTCAGAAGGTAGGTCTGACACAGTTTTATCCCTTTCCACTCATAATGCCTGCCATAACAGAGTAATGCGCTTTTGGGCTATGATCATTTCTTATGCTATTTTTGCATGATTGTGCTTAAGAACTGATTGTATCAAGTATTGTAGGTGGCATTTTCAGCTACATAGGCTGGCATCTTCCCAAAACTCAATGAATTTTACCAAATATGAAATAGAAAACTAAAATTTTTGTTGAAACATAGATGTAAGGGAAGAAAAAAGTCTTTATGTCCTAAGTCATAATAGCAAATATTAGAGCTCACTGGACACAGTTTAACCAGAAAGCTAAATCTAGTACCACTTAGTAAGTTAAACACTGCAAATTATAGAGTATTATTGTCATTAACATTCTAATGCTACAGATCTGAGTAAAACTTGCAGCCTTAAAATTTCCAGGATTCCCGGGAGAATTTGCATTATAGAAGGGAGGGAGAGGTATTTACTTATCCTTTTATTTTCCTTTTCTATAAGATGGGTTGAACTTTAGACTGTAGGGCTGAAGTTACTGTATGGCTGTACATATGTGTAAATTTATAAAGTGTTTCTATGTATACATGTATGTCTTTAAGGAAGAATATTAGCAGTATAAATACTTTCCTAAAATAATTTATGGGAAACCGCATTAAAGACTTTCTTTCCTCCTAGACACTAGTAATTATATATTGCATTTTTCCTTATCTAAATATGCATATATCTCATTTTTTAGCCAATCAGTGGGAAGTGGCATATAGTGGATCAGCTACAGAATATACCTGTACTCACTTGAAACCAGGCACTTTGTATAAACTCCGGGCATGCTGCATCAGCACAGGTGGACACAGCCAGGTAAGTATTATTTAACAGTAAGAACTCTTGTCGTTATATATTTTTCAGAGATTTATGTGTTAAATATGCTAAATCATTTCTGCTTTAAAAAGTGATTTTTTTCCCTCAGATTTAGTCCTTGAATGCAGTATAGCCACAGCAGTTTTAGTTAATGATCTCTTGCAAGTTGCTGCATTTTGGAAGTTTTCTTTACTACTTTGGTTGGTTGGTTGGTTGTTTCAGGCAAAACACAATTTATTGGGATTTTGTTTTCTCAAAGGTAGGGTAGGAAAGACTGTAATATTTATCTGCTCTGACAGCTTGCTTGAGAAAGGCTGTAGAATCTCATCTGCTGTAGGCCTGTATTGCCCTAATTTGGTGATATCAGAAGATACAGTATGTGTAGCTCGCTGTAGTAGTTAACCACCTTTTATGTGGTTGAAATCTTTACATTTTTACTTACATTTTCCAGACACTGATTCTTGTCATTCTCATCATTATTTGAGTTAAGAGCATTTTAGTACCTACATTTTTATTCCTCTACATATTGGTTCTTGTGAGAAGTTGAAGAGTTCTTCAGTGCTTGGTATTATTTAAAAAGCAATGAAAACTAAAATATAGAGCCACACACAATTTTCCTACAGATTTTCCTCAGGTGAAATTTTCAATTGTGCTAATGCAAGGACTATTTGTGTTGCATTTGTAGGTAATATGTTTGATAGTATCTCATATCCTCTAGTGTTTATATAGATTCCTAATGTGCCGGTATAGTATTTTAGAAAATTTAGGAAATATTTTTTGTTATCACTTTCTAGTTCCTGCGTTCTTTCGTAGTCCTGTAGGTAATCTTGCTGGGGTGTTAACTGCAGCTCCTGTTCTTTTGCAGTGTTCTGAGAGTTTACCTGTCCGTACGCTCAGTGTTGCACCAGGTCCCTGCCGGCCACCAAGGGTTTTAGGGAAGCCGAAGCACAAAGAAGTTCAGCTGCAATGGGGTGAGTGGCTGGAGCGTGTCCCTGGGCTATAGCTTTGGTTTGCACTGTTGGCTGCTAAGCCTTCATTAGCTTTTATTTGTCCTGCTGGGTTTTACGAGAAGTTGCAGCGTGTTCTGCCCAATTCCAGTAAAATCTGGGCAAGTCAGAAGTAAAATTCTTCATTGGCTTCTGTGGCTCTGTATGGACCTCTCTGAACTTGGTCGTCTTTCAGTTGCCCTTTGGGCCTGAAACTGTAGTCCTGCTGTTGTTAATTAGGACCTATCTCTATGTCAAGGCTATAAAATAGCCACTGTATTAAAGTATCTTTCCTTTTATCTCAAAAATACTGTGTGATTCACATACTAAGTAGTAGAAGCATTTTACTACTTCTAATTTAAAACTGCACTCAGAAATCTGAGTCAGAGCATCTTGGGTGGTATTTAAACCTCAATCCACAAAATAACAGCAAAAGAATCATTGGAAGCTTGTAATTTTGAAAAGTACATGGATGATAGACATGGCACTAAAACATCAAAAGGCATGTTTTTCCAAATACAAGATTCTTTCATCACTACGATAAACTTGCAGCATCCAAGATTCTTCTTTATCTCTTTGTGTTCTTCAGCATCATCTGTTAAATTAAATATGGAAAGTGTCTACTAGAGCATCACTATTTCTAACATATATTTCAAAATTTTAGTTGTGCATTCAGTGTTTCATGTTGTTTCTTTGAAGATTGTATCTTAGGGTGGACCATCAGTTTTCAGAACTCCATGTGGGGTTGGTTCTGTGATGCTGGCTTAAGATCTAGTATGAAAATATTATCAAAAACATTATTTTTATGGTGAGCAAAGTGTCTGCAAAGAATGAGGTATGAGCACAAAAAAGTTCAGTTTCCAAAAAAGCTATTATTCCAACTCAAGTTCAAGATTTACATCATTGTATAGAGATTTGGATCCCCATAAATGTTTTGTGGTATTTTACTGCATGCAGAGTGACTAATAAATTTGAAGATGGCAGTTGCTTTTATCTTTATTAGGTGTTGTTGGTGCCTTACCCAAAATCCAAAGTTTAAGCAGTAGATTTTGAGGGTACAGGACCTCTATTAACATGTGTCCAAACAAAACCAGCAGCCAAGATTACATCAGACAGCCACCATGTGCTGCTCCAGGAAGAATATGTTTAGCATTAGCTCTGTTCTTTGTGTGTTTTTGTCTGCCCTTTCTTCTTGTGACTTACTGACCAATGTCCAAATTGTAGTGTTTGTCCAAATTGTGTGTGTTGCAGGATTTTCTGGTTTTTTGTTTGTTTGTTTTCCACATAACCACCACATAAAGGTGGTGAATGTCCAAATTGTAGTGTTTGTCCAAACTGTGTGTGTTGCAGGATTTTCTGTTTTTTTTTTGTTTGTTTTCCACATAACACCACCTTTCAGATAGGAAACCATAACTGGTCAGTAGTAGAGGGGTAGCTACTGTGTTCAAGTAATTGGGGATTTTGGGTATCTAACACTGCTTCTCACTCACAGAGAGAGATCATTGCCTTGGAGAACTCTTTGCAAGTCATGGCTCAGACCATGTGAATACTTAGGTTAAAATTATTTAAAGGTGCCTCTCAAAGGGGAAAATAACTGCTGATAGTCTATGTGTCCATGATATGTGAAGAGTCGATCTTCCCGGCCCATGTCCTCATGCTGTTAATACATTCCATGATTTCTTTCTAGATGCCCCTTCATCAGAAAGTGGCTGTCCCGTCTCCGAGTACAGTGTAGAAATGACAGAACCTGAAGAAGTCGTTTCTGAAGTGTATCAAGGTGCTGAGCTGGAGTGCACAGTCAGCAACCTCCTTCCTGGCACGACGTACCGGTTCCGCGTGAGGGCTCTGAACGACGGCGGGGTACGTTCGGGGTCCTCTGCCTTTTGTGCCCTGCAGGTTGTGTTGTGCCAGGGACGTGATGTTGGAGTGGAAGGATGTTAGCGCTGGCGAATGGAAAGATGAAGGTCGGGCAACAAATATAGAGAGAGAAATTTTTAAAGGGATTTTAGATGAGGATGTGTAGTTCTGAATCCAATGCTCTTTTTAAAAACGTGATTTGGCTGGCTAAAATCACCTGGATCAAAATATGCTAAATCTCTACTGATAGTCATATCTGCTTATAAAAAGGAGCATCTCTATTGCTCTTCCATTGCATTCCTCCAGTTTTTAAGAAACTTAATTATATAAAAGCAAACAGTGAAATTTCACTAAGATATTGATGTGCTTTGAGAAATATTTTACATTGTTAATGAATATTTTTATTTCAAGTTGATAAAATATAGGCTATTTGATGGGTTTTTTTGTTCTTATGGTCTCCTGGGAAGATAGGCCTTCCCACATTCATCAGAAATTATCTGATGACCACTGAAATCTGCTGAAATATTCCTGTTGTTTCAGTGAGATCTGGGTGGGTCCTGCTCGTCTTTGTGGGAGTGTCATTCTAAGTGTTTTTTTGTAATAATTTATACGGCCACAGTCTAATTCTGCACTCTGATAATTAGTGTTGAGTGTTGAGTTTATCTTGAGAAAGCTTGTTGCATTCAGAATGTTTCTATGTCCTTTATATTCTTAAAAAGTCTTAAAGGAGCAAGAGATGTGCGGGTTGTTATATTAACATGTAGGTAACTGTCCCCCATAGTACGGGCCGTACTCGGAAGCCACAGAGGTCACCACGGCAGCGGGACCACCCAGCCAGTGCCGAGCACCTTCCCTCTCCTTTCTGTCTGACACAGGCGTCCTCATAAGCTGGGAGGTAAGTCAGCTGCCCCAAATGTTTAATTTCTCTCCTGCTTATCCAGCCCAATTTGGTCATTGTACACTTTAAAGCCAGTTCAAGAACTATTAACTAGTTTAGATTTTTAAAAACTATATATATATATATGCAGAAACTCTTCTATTGTAGAAAAATGCCTTCTCCACTTTTCTCTGCAAAGAATTAGATAAAGTTAATCATGAGTCACCCAGACCTAGGATACGGGCATACGAGACCTCCTACATTGGCACCAAACGATAGACGTTGTTCTGTTTAGACGTGCACTCTCTGCAGGCTTTTAGTATGTCAGAATGTTCTGGGCTGGAATTACGAAGCCAAATATTTGATTTTGGATGAAGCCAGTCTCTCTGAAATGAAGCTAACTGCTCAAATGCTTATGTTTCGGCTTTCCCTCAGAAACTGTTTGTCTCTTCCCCAAATATTTACTTGGATTTAAGTTTGTATGTGTTCTCTTTCCATCCTTTAGGGTTTTAGACTTTGAGATTTTTTTTTTTTAAATAAATCATAGTGGAAACCCTGAGAGGTCGGTTGATGTCAATTAAGACAGAAGAGAAAGGATGTTGTCATACATAAAACTCGATATGGAGCTGTAATTCTGCCAGAAACTTCCTTTGGAAACGAGCTGTGTCACCTACAAAAGGATGACTCTTAACATGGGCAGCGCTGAGAAAGAAGCTACTAATGTTAGTCAGATACTTGAATGTACGGGTTTGTGCTGCCAGCATATCCAGACACAAGCTTAATCCGAGTTTTATTTTATAAATGAAGCAGGCACAGTTTCGTGCCGTTTTGGGTAAGGTTGTTCATATTTTTTGCAGCATTTTGCGAAGCTAAGATAAATTTGCACTAATCTTTTTAAGGTTACCTTTTAATTGAGTGCATGAACAGTTATTTGCTGTCCCCAGCCATGAGTGAATGCTGTGTTGCTTCTGACATGCTCTGTAGTTGTCTTTGGAAGGAAAACTGTGGTTTGCAATAGTTAGGTTTTCCTAAATGACCCATTACTTTTTAGCTGATCAGGATAATAATGAAAAACAGCAAAGGACTGTTGAGATTTGAGGACTGTCTCCTTCTGACTAAAGAATTATAAAGTTGCCTACCATGCAGCCTACTGTGCCTTTGTTGTACATTGGTTTAAAATTGTGGCTTTTAAGTTAAATTTCAGTTAAGGTGGTTATCCTTTTTTTGCAAGAAGTTGCAAATGCCAAGATGCTCCTTTCATGACTTCCAGCTTAGCAGTTCTCAGGTTTCCTACTGAAATAGCTGGGAGCTCTGAGACGACGCTAGTGAACGCTGGGTGTTTTTTCAGGGCGGTCATTATGGTGTGTAATGATGCTCTATCTCCTTTTATTGGAAATAGCCTCCCTGTGGTGGAAATTTCATGTGCCTCCTCTGCTGAGCCCATAATTTATCCTTGTTTTCCAAGTAATGAATAGTTATACTGACAAATTTGCAGTTCTAAAGTGGATGACTCTTTATTTAATTTTCTCAGTTACTAGTTTGTTTTTTGTTTTGTTTTCTCCCCACTGGAGAGGAGAGAACTTGTTGCATGCTGTAACTGCCAAACATTTGTCTATTCCAGAGTATGGTTTTTAAAGTGCCCGTAGAGCAGAGATTCCCAATCCATGCAGTGCAGCACTAAACAGGATACGTGGGTTTTGGGGGGAGCCATGCCTGCTCTAGTGCATCTCTAGCAAATTCAGGTTCCCATGTTCCTGTAGACTGAAAAACAAGAAAGGAACTGTTGGGGTTATACAAATCCTGTAGGGTTTTTTTGCAGGTATTAAGGTATGCTGACCCACATTCCCATATCCCATACTTTGACCCTTAGCTGGATAGCTGACTTCCACCAAAGCCTGCAACAGGCTCTTCATTTGCTGTGGTTTTTCCTTTTCCAGTACCATGAGGAGCTCCTTAGGGCTCTTGCAGGCTAGTTCTTCCAGTTGTGCTTTACATCACCAGGGAGGCTAGATTAGATGGATGAGGTTTGTGTCTCCATACTGGGCTTCTGCCAAGGCAGCAGAGAGACAATTTATTACTGAGTGTCCTGATGAAAAGCAAAGTAGTGCTGTGGAACCAGCATGCACGTTCTCATTTCTGTGAATTTCTTTCAGGTAATATTTATGCAAAATTGACCTGTTTCAGTAACCTATTATACAACACTCATTCAGCGTGTGTCCATTTGCTGTGGTAATTGTGCATTAATATAGTAATAAGTGACTTTATTCCTTTATTCACTGAAACACAATGATCTGAAGTGTCCGTTCATGAGTTGAACCACATAAATATTTGTGTTGCAGAGTCCTGAATGTTCCGGTGCTGACATTTCTGAATACAGATTAGAGTGGGGAGAAGATGAGGACTCTCTAGAACTTGTATATAACGGCACAGAGACTTGTTTTGAAATAAGTGAGTTGTCAGCGGCAGCACATTACTGCTGTAGGCTCCAGGTATGGATTTTGTCAATTTTTGTCTGTGAATTTTTGCATGTATTGCAATCTAGAGTGTAAAGACAATTTTCTTCTGCTGTGTTTTTATTTTCATTGTTACTCACAAGAAAATTAAGTGCTCAAGTCACAATCGGTGTATCTCTATTTTAAATAGTGCAGAGTGCTCTTATCTATATAATCAAACACTCTAGATTTTGCACAATTCAAAGTGAGATAGTCGATACAACTTTTAGCTCTCAGAAATTGCTTTCATACATTATGTGCTTGATCCTTTGGGAATACTGCTGTTAACTGCCACTAATGAACTGCCCTCTGATATTAAAATAAGATTATTATGTTCTAGACTCTTTCCAGAAATTTTTTTTTCTGGGAATTGTTAAGTAAACAATAGCTATGTCCCACTTTGCAGAGGATGTTGAAGATTGCCCTAACTTAAGTAATATACTCCAACAGCTGTTTCATTTATCGAATGAAGCAAACCAGTTAGCAGCTTGCTATGTACCTAGCTGTAGCTGCCAGAAAGCATAATCCTCATCTTTAACATTTTGTCTCTTAGATTTGCAAAATGTGTGTTTTCCTCCTTCATGTCTGCTGAAAGAAAGTAGACAGGAAGTAATGGGGAGTAAATGGGAATGAAGTAAAAACATTTTTGCCCAGGATACTCTTGCATTCTCTTCTGCGAGGTTTATTTGTGTGCTAAGACAGAATACCACCAGTAAATCCACCCGAACATCCATGTATGCACCCAGCTGGCAACTCAGGGACCACCCACGCTCTTTGCTTTGATGGGACAACGTGATTTTGTTAAGCGTTGTCTTCTTGCATTTTGTTAAATGGGGCGGTCTTTTTTGTATTATTATTATTGAGGTTTTCTAGCTTTTGGCCAGAAGCCCAAGAGTGAGGGCCCCCCACGCGCGAATAAGCGCCGCTGTGTTTTCTGCCCATAGCAGTGTTCTCATTCTGGCAATGTTGGGAGAAACGGATTAAAGTGTGAGCTGGGGAGCTCGTTCTGCCCATGTGAGAAGGCGAGTGATGAAAATCCACTGAGCAGGACTAGATGTGACTATGGAGTCGCTTCTGTGGCCAGTGGTGGGGACCTGGGAAGTTCAGTGTGAGAAATGGTAACAGAGACAGCTCTAGAGCATCTGTAATCTTTGGAAGGGACAGATATTTCTAGTAGGTGGTTTAAAATGAGTTCCATCAAACTACCCAGGTCTTAACACATCAATTATAATTTAATGTGTAAGCTCAAGTTGAATTGCATACACACCACCACTAAGATATTTTAATCTGTGACCCTGCAGTGTTTTCTAAAGGGCTTCATCCTGTAGATCTGAGCTTTATGTTATACACAGAAGCATTTGAGAAGCCATGTTAGAAGATACATTGATATGCATTTGAATAAGATACATTTGAACTTTTTTCAAAAATAAAGACAAAAAAGAGTGAGTTGTGGACAAAGAGGGAAAGTTAACTAGTTTCAGAAATCTTAGGCTTTTTAAATAACATGGAGAGGATAATATTCCTTTCTTACCTGTTAGCAGCTTTAACAGAAAATCCTTCTTTTGCTTTTTAAAAATAAAGATTCCCCTAACCTTTACTCTGGCCTCTAATAAACACAACATTGCTATCTCAATCCACAGAAAATCAAGGAATAGGGCGTATATAACTGCAGGGGACACAGTTTTTCTTTACTATTGCTCAGGGGCTTTTTTGCGTAATGACTGTTCCTGACCACAACTGTGGCTCTTACCAAGGGAAAGATTCTGCCATCTGGGGAGGGGAAATATCTAGGAAGCCCAGAAGAAGGAAATTCCCATCAGTTATGATGATAAGGTTGTCCAATAAAACAGTTAAAAGCACTACTAAAAAGGCATTGCTTGGAGCAAGATACAGATTGGCAGCCCTGGTATAGAGGCAAAGCAAACAACATCCTTGGCAGGTCACAGGACAAGGCGCTCTTCTTAACAGCTCTCGGAGCGCTTCACTAAAGAGAAGATGTCCCTGGAGCAGGATTTGTTTTGAAGGGCTTTTTAAAGGGCTGACAAATCTAATTTTATTATCTCTTCAATTACACAAAGCGCCTCCTAGAACAGCAAGCAAGGCCGTCTATTTGTGCTATGCAGAGCAGGCAGAATTATTCACTGCCGCAAAGCATAAACAAGAAGCCAAGCAGCTGTTTGGCATATCCCCTTCTCGCTGTCCTAGTCCTCCTGAAAAGATTGTAAACTCATTTTCTAGGTCAGTCACGTTCCAGAGGGAGAATTTGGAATTGCTTTCCCAGCTGCCAAAGAAACCAGTGTGATGGATAATGCAGGGCAATGTCAAAAGCTCCTTTTGGAGGCTTGTATCTTCAGCATTTCTCTGGCGTAGTGCAGACTGTACTATAACATTGCCAGCTTTCCACGTACCATGTTGGCCAACGTCGTAGTGGGCTGTGTATCAACCTGTGAACATAGGTCTTTAGGTCCAAGGAAGCTGGTCTTCCCCGTTATTTGCCCCTCGTTGGTGTCTGGAATTCTGTGTCCCATTTCACTCCAGAGAAAAGTTGAAGTAGATCAACTTGGAGTATCTTGTCTGAACAAGATAGAAAGGAAAAGACCAAAAAAGTAGAAAAAGTTGTCATTGTGAGAATAAATAAAGATTGAACAGTGTCCTTAAAGGGCTGTAGGTTCTCCACCCCTGGTAGTTTTTAAGATGGAACGGGACAGAATCCCAAGCAACCTGGTTGGTGCTCAGTGCTGACCCTGCTTGGAGTAGCAGGTTGCACTAGATAACGTCCCAGGGTCCCTTCCAACCTGGATGACTCTGATGCTGTACACAAGCATATATAATAATCATGTCATGTTAGGCATTTCCCATTCCATTTCAATGCAATGTACACAGCATTTCCCACATCTGATTAAACACCATGCTGAGTTAGTATTTTCTTTTATCAAAAACTTTTGGTATGAAATTAGCTCTTAAGTAATTAAGTCAGGGACTAGTGTAGCTGTTAGCAAGCAAAGTGCCCTCTATGAGGTGCTCTGCTCGCATAAAGTACCTGAGGTTGGACCCTGCACAAGGCAGAGTTCTTGTATACAGGGCAGCACGACAGCTTGGTAGCCACTTTGTTGGACAACGTGATGCCAACTGTCACCCACAGCGTGGTGACTGTGACGTTTTCTCTTACCAAGCAAAGTTTGCTGCTGCTAAAAGGGCTACTCTTAAGTTTGATTAAATAGCTGTTAGGCCAAAGATAAATGTTCTTGAACTTGTCTAAGTGACACTTCTGAATAGCAAAGGAAGATATTAGTCCCTCTAACAAGGAGGGCGTAAATCATTTAGAAGTTGCTTATAAGTTGCTCTAGAGAATCGATGCAACTGTTCCTGACCGCAGAGTTCACTCTTACAAGCTTGACTGACATGCAAAATAGAGAATTTGTCCCATAAAAAAATTACGTTTTGCCTCGCAGGCTGTTAACCAGGCAGGAGCTGGACCCTACAGCGATGTAGTCACCTGCAGACTCCCCGCGTCCGTGCCTGATGCAGTCTCCATCCTCTCCGTGCTGGAGGACGAGCCCGTGGATGCCTCCCAGATGTCCCCCTCCGTGTGCCTTGTTCTGAGCTGGGAGGAGCCCTGCAACAACGGGGCCGAAATCACCGCCTACAACATTGACCTTGGCGACAGCAGCATTCCCGTGGGAAACGTCACCACTTACGTTATCCAAGATTTGCTGCCAGAAACCTCGTACCGGTGAGTAGAGTATTTTTGGTGAGGTGCAGGAACTCAGGATGAGAATGCAGAGCTTAATATTACATGGGAAATGTTTAGGGGAAAAAGAAGTGAGCTTCAGTCTGATACAGTTCCTATATGGAGGGTTCAAATACTAGTTTTTTCTTCCCTTTTTTACTCTTCTTCCCTCTCCTGTTACCTCTTCTTTTTAAATGATGCTTTACAGGCTGTTCTGGTAGATAAAGTCCCAAACTAGGGTAGCTAGAATTAGAATGCAATGTCACCTTTTCTCAGATGATAATCAATAAAATCCCAAGGGTCTGTAGTGTTAATATTAACTATATTGATGACTATGTGTGGATAGCAATTTGCATGCTATGGATTTCTATTTGTATGCTTCTGAATAGCTGTATTTCTTATTTTAGCATATGAAAAAAGAAAGGAAAATCTGAGTTTAGAATGAATTTCTTCATAATAGTCCAGAGTCTAAATTTTGTTTCTAAATAGTATTGCAAAAATTTTATAGCTACTTCAATGTTCAGGCATATATAATGTTTTTTTCCCCTTAACTCCTGACATTCTGGCATTTTATTACCAGAAATGAGCAGCAATACAGCAGAAGTTATGTCAGGAGAAATTCTATTTTGAGTGCTATTCTAGTAAGTACAGACATCTAATTGCACAACTCTAAAATTAGACATGGCACAGACCAATAATAAAATTTCTCTGGTATTCAAGGGTCACAATCCTACAGATCTTGTAAAATTTAAAGAAAAAGTTCAGTTCTCGAATTTTACCATGCACCCTAAAAAGAGAACTTCTTGTAGCAAGTAAAATACAAATATACCTAATAGAAGTTATTTAAAGCAAGGGACATACTTTCATTTTGTGTCCTTACAGTGTCTAGCACAGTGAGTCCTGATCTTTGCCTGGAATATCTGGGTTGTTAAAAAACATGTATTTTATTTAAAAAGCTAGATTTGACAATCTTCAGCTGTGGTTTGTTTGTATTTTAAATAACTTTGGTGTAAGTTCAAGCACGTGTAGTTGTCAAAGGAAGCAGTCCTGCCCTCTTGTTCTTTCTCCTCAAGTATTATCCTCCCTTGTGCCAGCAAAACTTTCTTGCAGTATTAAAGAATGCAAAAATTAATCCTGTTGAAAATTAGCTGTGTTTTCTACTTTTAAAGCAGATGAGAACAAAACCACCTCCCCTACCAGTTGTCACGCTTCTGACCTGCCTCTGCCACCACATTTCCAGGTGTTTCTCCCACTCTCCCTTGCATCTGCACTGGTGCTCATATGACCTTTTTTAAGCCAGATCAGGGAGCTCAACTGGTTGAAAACTAATCAAAAGCCTATTATAAAACTAATAAGTTATATAAATAAAAAGTTATATTATAAAACTAATAATTGACTGAATTACCCAGCTGAGGAAATGCATCCTTTTTGGACAGTCTGTTGCTCACTACCCAGTCAAGGGCCAAACCAGCTAATGCACAGTAAGAGCCTGGAGCAACCCACTGGAGATGAGCTGAAGGGAGCAAATATTTTTGTAGGGCTAAGCTCCTAAAAATTAAGAGCACAAACCAGTAGATGGACCAATCAGGAGCAATAATATATGAAATATTGCTGTTTAATAAAATAAGTGAACTCCTAAGTCTTGTGTCTGTCAGGGCAGACCAAGTGTCTAAAGCCAAGTTGCAATAGCACCTCTTGTAGCACTGGCTGCAGTTTGAAGTATTTGTGTGCTTGTAAAAATAGACATATTGAAGAGATATTTTTGTCACCAGATTGACTGAGAACTCCTTGATTTGTATTTCTTTGTTAAGCTTGTGTACGCCAGTTTTTAAATCTGGAAACATCTGTGCCCATATAAATGTGTCCATAAATAAACACATCCCTTTACACACACACATGCTCTAGTTTTCTATGCTATTTCAGGCTCCAAGGACCGCATAAGTGTAAGAATATTGCTAGTTTTGATTAACCACCCCGAATAGTTTCCTTGAGCTACTCTAAAGTGGAATTGCTGGTGCAGAAAATGGAATGAAGTGATATGGTAAGAACATGGGAAGCTGCTGATAATTCTGTGCTCTCAGAGATGCAAAGGTGAAATGCCTTTGGAAAACAGGCCTGCAAGGAGGCTCTTCATCATGAGTGAGCCCCAGGCAATTGCTGTGGGAGTCAGGACGCCATGTATTTCCTTTCAACACAATTACTATGCTATTTTTTAAAACTGTGCAGGAGATTTCTGTCCTTCCCACTCCTCCTTTTCTGTCCTCCCATTCGATTTGGAAGGGTATTTCAGAACAGCACTGATCTCATTGTCTAAATTTGTTCCCCAGCAGTTTTCTCTTTTGTGTCAACTTAGTTTTAACACAACGAGCTCTTCCCTCTCTCAAGTGCTTGTTCCCTGCTGTGTTTAAAAGCAGCAAACATGTTTTCATCCAGGCTTTGTTTTTCCTAGACTAAACAAGCCAAACCCTACTGTTTTTGAGTCTCTGCAACATCTTGCCAAAGCAGTTTCTGGATTGGTAGTAACTCCAGCCAAGGATGGAAGGGGAAGGGTTTCCATCCCCAAACACGCTGGAGGCATCAGAGCTGAGTTGTGCATCTGCCAGGCAGCCAATGGACAGGTGATTTTGAGGGGAGACCTCCAGAATCTGGTACAAACTCTTGTAAAAGGTGAATGTTTTCCAGAAGCCACCTAGAAGCATCCACTCTGACCGTGTCTGTCTGCCTGGCCAGCTGCAGAAATACATAGTGTGTATGTCCCATAATCCATCCATTTTACTGCCATAGTCAGGAAGCTCTGATAATAAAGTAATAATACTTGGAGCAGTTTTCTGCGAAGTGATGTAACTGGAAGCGAGTTAATACATATTCTGCAATAAATAAGCATTCAATGGCAATAGAAATGTCAATATTCTGTTACACTCTGTTCCCAAGCTTTGCTGGGTATTTTCTGTAGTTAATTTTGCTGTACTGTTATAATACTTTGCTGTAAAACAACTTTTAAGAATGCTCCTTTAAGTTAGTAATAAACACAGTAGCCTTATTAAAGCTTAATAGTAAAAGTTATTTTCAATTTATTATAGGAATAAAGATTTTCAGCCATTTCTAAGCTCTATTGAAGGGGAGATCTTCCGAGATGAGAAAGGAGCTCCTTGGATGTTCAAGACAGCAGTTAGCACTGGGTTGTAAACCAGAATTTATGTTATTTGACTAGGGATTTATGAGGCTGAATAATTGTCAGCCGTTGTGTGCAGGCAGATGGTAGGGGAAGGCTGTGCTGCCTCTCCTCCCCTTTGAAGTCTGCAGCATTTTAACTCAAAACTCAGGGTTTTGCAGGCACTGTGTGCTTAGAAGGCCACCAATTGCATCAGGCTTATGGGAACGGGTGAATCAAACTCTTCTCATGTCAAGCAACATCAAATTAATTCAAAAGTGATTTTTCAGTTTGCTGGAATACTCTACAAAGGACTTCATGACTGAACTGAAAATAGCATCCTGTTCCGTGTGTTTATTTTCCTGGGTCAAGAATCTTATAAGATATAATGATCTATGAAAGGTCATTGAATGGTTTCTAAATTTGCCTAGTCTGATATTTTTTTTAAATATTGAAAATAAGCAGTCTGATTTTTTTTTAATGTTGGAAATAAGCAGTGGGAAAATGCAAGATTGGATAATATCGTCTGGGGCCCACAGAACTAGATAATATACCTAAATTTGCTATTTATGTTTTGACTTTGAAACTGTGATTATCAGATTTGAAAATGACCTTTCCAAAACAATTTTTAGGATACTTTAAGTTACAATTCTTTAGATGTTGAAAGAATACAAAAGTGGTTTTCACAGCAAATAATTCTACATATTTTTACCCTAGTTTTATGTAAATACAGAGATGTTAACCAAAACACTGGTTTTCGCAGTATCTATTCAGTTGGCTCCGCTTGATTTGGAGAGTCTCCTCTCTTTCCCACTGTGGGTTGTGCCGCTGAGCTGCAGCGTGTCCCGCGTTGGGGCAGGGATGCGCGGAAGCATCCGCGATGGAGATGATGCAGAGCAACCAGGCTGTTCTCCTGGTTCAGAAGCACGGAGTGGGTTTTGGGGAATATGTGCATGTATCAGGAGTGGGTTTTGGGGAATATGTGCATGTATCAGGAGTGGGTTTTGGGGAGTATGTGCGTGTCGGGAGCAGGGAGCATGAGCAGCAGAGCAGGTGAATGCAGCAGGAAATGGAAGAGGAGGAAGAGATTCATTTCTAGCATGTGCCCATGACTGGCGTGGGGAAGATGAGCAGATGTACATGTATGTTCATGCACATGTCTACTAAGCACGTCCATCAGCATATACCTAAAAAATGTGATTTGTTATTTAGGAGAGATCTGTATGCAACACTACTTTTTTCCAAAAGAGATAACCACTGTAGGAAATGAGGGAGAGCTACTCAGTTTGAGGACAGGAGCAATTTTGGTCCTGTTGAGAGAATGCCTTATCCAAAACCAAACACCAAAGTCATGGAGCATGTGCTGTGGAGTGTGTTGCTCTAACCAGACGTTCTGTGCTTCCGGTGTCCCTGCTGAGGTGGGCCTGCCAACCGATGAGTTCTCAGCATCCTGGGGAAAATTCGGGGTTTTTTTTGTTGTTGTTTTTAACTGAAAGGGCTATTGAATATTAATGTAATGACTTTTCAACCTGAAGCTAACCAATAATGTAAAATGAAATAATATCAATGTTTATGTTAATTGCACTGCTCTTAATATTACAGAAGCATGCTGTCCTTTTTAATTCAGTTGCTTTATAAGCCTTTTTTCCCTCCTATTTTTAAAATCCTATTTTTAGTTTCTTAGAAATATTTTATTCTTCTTGCATTTTTGAATGCAACAACAATGTCAATAATAACGATTGCTGTTGAACTTTACTGAGTTTAGGGCTTAGTTCTCATGTCACCAATATTCCACCAGTGATTCCTTCTCCATGGGTGAAAATGTCTATGTTGACTGTCATGGGAATTGTGTTGCTCCCTGCAGTGATCCAACAAGATTGTCAAGAAAAACTCTAAGCCAAATTCAGCCCTTTTGACACCTCTTTGAATGAGACGAGCACTCTCTGAGCATGAATTGGAGGACAGAATTTGACCCTTTTTCATATCAAATGGGTTGTTCCATCCAGAAGATTATTTAGACTGCTGAAGTAGTAAAGGGAGAGGGATCTCCGCTAAGGATATTTTGCTCCTATGTTAATTCTGCATAAGCTTTTTCTAATGGTAGAGCTACATATTTACTCTTCAAAGAAAAATATTTAATAAGCTATTGGTGTTCTGTAATCAAAATAAGTATTTGTGCTCACCCCAAGGTAGTTGTAATGCCGAACCAGCTTTTCTCCCTTCTTCCTCTACCACCTTTGCCAGGGATCTCCTGGCTTCCTGGTGGCTAGTAATTTTGAGAAGAAGCAACATTTATTGGAGAGAATCTTTTCCCATGAGAAAATATTAGGCTGCTGTGCCCAGGAGTTTCAAAGTCAATGGCATCCGTCCAGCTCTCTGAACTGGGTTGCTGTCTAAAAAGCCGATTAGTTTTCCCAGGCTGTTGTCTCTTATTTCTGCTTTTATTTAACAAGCGCTTGAAACCTTTTAGGGTCATCTCTGTCAATACTTGTGTTTCTGCAGAATCTCAATCTCTTAGCGAAAGCCCTCTTTCCAGAAGGATATTTTGCTTTTTTGTTTGTGATGTTGCTGTTGATGCTACCACAGTAAAATACTACTGTGCTTTGCTTGTTCCTATGAGCAGGTTCCCATTGTGCAATTAGTAAACTATGGTGCAGAGGGATAAGCAAGTGACAGAAGAGTAAAAGCCAGGGGTCATTACCTTAAGAAATAAATAGCATTTAGCAGCTCAATTTTAAAAATGCTTCCAAATTAAAACTGCTATGACTACATTAGGTGGTCTGTTTTTCTCTTCTAAAGGCCCTTAATCTGGTTCAGATGACATTATGGAGCTTTTGTCCATCTTGTAAGAGTGACTCGAAGCAAATTTTTATTTGCTCTAATATCTAATCCAATGATGATGGCCATATCCAGTTTGTGTAAGAGTCCAGAAGCCAGTTGTTTGCTCCTGTTTTTCAAGTGGTTGAAGGGGCTGCCGTCAGACTCGCAGGTTGCTTTACCAGATCTTCCTTCCTCTGCATGATTGCATTTCTTGGTGTCTTCATTGCTGTTCTTATGATATAAACAGGATGCTAATAATTGTTATGTTACAGAGCCTTTCACTTTGCCAGGGCAAGATACTGATTACCGTGGGTGGACACGGTATTTAATGAAGGACCAGTCAGCTCCAGAAGGCTGTTTGGTTTCTTGAGACTTTTCTATCCAAGGACATTGTGAGAGCACCTTATTTAACATTTACCTTTTTTTCTTGTTTACTTCAGGATCAGGATCCAAGCTGTCAATGAAATTGGACCTGGACCATTTAGCAACTTTATTAAAGCAAAAACTAGGCCATTACCACCCTTACCTCCTCGGTTAGAGTGTGCAGCAGCGGGTCCTCAGAGCCTGAAGCTGAAATGGGGAGACAGCAGTTCCAAACTTCACGCTGCCGATGACATGGTGTATATCTTGCAGATAGAAGACAGAAATAAAAGGTAAGAGATACAAGATACTTTTCACTGTGTAAATGAAAACGGATACTGATTCATCATAAAATAATTGTGAATCACAGTAGGAAAATAAATTGTTTTCCTAGTTATCTTACACCTACAAACCTACCTAAAAGATGTAGTTTTAACAGGGGTTCTGTGCTTCTAGTCAGAGCAAGCAAATTAAATAACAAAGCTGTTAGACTCATTGTAGAACAACTGAAATCCATGCTGATATTCTAGCAAAACACTGACTTCTCTGTCTGTATATTGAGGTTCAACATTGTGACTATTTTGCCCTTTGGAATGCACAAAACAGAGATACTGCTCTCAGTGTACTGTGTATATTAGTAAAGCAACTGGTTGCAAAGCTGCACGTCTAAGACAAAACTGGGCAAAATAAATTCCTTGGGGCAGCATGGTGGTTGTGATTTTACAGCTCGACTCTTCTGAAGCGTTGTCAAAGTAGGAGCTCAGCATCAGCTTGCTAACTGTGCAATAATTACAAAATAAGTGCAAGAGGACTCATCCACCATGTCTTCCTTCCCTAAAATTTTCTTCTAAGCCGTGAGAGCTTTGAATGTGCAAGAAGTTCAAAATCGGACATTGCAAGAAGTTTTCCATGCGGATTTGATAAGTTCCAAATTCATGAGAGAGAGGAGGAAAAAAAAAAAAAAGGCAACATGAATGTTGCCTAACAGTCTGATCCCTTCAATGAATAAACATTATAGTTGACTCATAATTTACGAAGAAACACTCACTATCAGCTAGTTTAATTACATAAAGTAATTGATGTATCAAGTAAATAATCTGTAGGGGCCTTCAGTACAAATCATAATTTGGTGTAAATTAGCCTGTTTTTTTTTAATTTAAATAAAGCAGTGCTGAGTTTATGCCAGCTGAAGAGCTGATCCAACAGCTCTAATTGTAAGCAATAAAACCACCATGAATAATGCCTAAATCCCTCCCAGTGTCTCAGCTGGGAGAGATGCAGAGAGGGTACGTTCTCCCTTGTATTAATAGTGAGAGGTGTTCAATGAATATAAATGCCTGTTTGAAAGTCTGGCTGATAAAACAGTCTCTTCGGAGTTCAATGATGCTTGGCAGGAGCCCATCACCTGCAGCTGCATGTGATCAAGTCGGCTCTAAAGAAACCAGACCCAGCAGGCTGCTTTTGTTTGCTTTCACGTAGCACTGCAGGTAGGATGGTGAGGGGCCGTAAATTGTTTTAAACCTGTTTTTATGTTGGTGAAATAATAAGTTTCTTTGTAAGAATAAAATATGTTACCTGGCAGCAGAGAATGAGAGCTTTTTCTAGCATCACCATTTGCTTTTGCACAAACTTTTCCTGTTGTAAATGGTCTCTAAGAACTGTTAATTAGGAGCAGTTACTGCTCTTTGCATTTGTCCCTCCTCTAGGTCTTCCAAGGGCTTGATCTGGGTTATAGTACCCTGCAAAGGTTAACAGCAACTTCTTGATTTCATCTGCATTGCGCTGATTGCTTCCTTTTGCCTGAGTGAAGCCCTTGCATGAACTGGTTTCTTTTTGTGGTTGGGATTGCAGCAATTAGTGCAATTAATGTCTGAAATGAGGCCTAGCCCTGGAACTGGGCACAGCGAGCGAGCAGATTTGGTGTCCTGTCCTTGCAATGGGCAGGTCTTTGCGATAAGACCCGTTTCTTGTTCCCCCTCTGGTAGGTACACCAGTTAGTCCCAGAGATAGGAGTCTGCTCTTAGTTCACATCCATAAAATAAAGTCCATCACAGCTGAGCGGTTACTCACAGTCATGTTCATGCCTGTGAAAAATCCTGGAATACATCACTGGCCTCTCTGCATGTGTGATGCCATAGCAGGTCAATGCAATGTGGACATCTAATGGAAATATATAAGGCCAGGTGCTAGTAAAAAATGACTCAGTAAAAAATGATGTAGAAAGGTGTTTGGGGATATTTCATGGCATTGAATGAGTTGTAGAAAGGTCTTCTCTGTCTACTGACATGACTTTTAGGAAGGCTTTCTGGATAACTCAAAATCACTGAGCAGAGGATTAACCAGAGATAACCTGGTTGTTCATAAGATGTTCTTACTGTCTTCTCTGTGAAGAGACATCTGAAATTACTTTTACCTGCTCTATACTGAAATCCCTTCACTCGCAGCACAACCTTCCCTTCTGCAGACTATCTGTACCTGCAGCTTTCGTTTTGCAAGGTTGATTACTCATGAGGTTTAAAATATATGTTAAATTGTAAGTGCCACTGAAGATTTTTACATATACAGAATTACAAAGGTGAGCAAATCCTTTTTCAAAAAGATAATTAACAGTAAGTCAGATTTCAACCTTGATAGCTTTTTTCTAGAGATACAGTCCTTATTTTATACAGCACTAGTCCACCAATGCTCTTGAATGTGTCTTGGTCATTAAGAAATGTTTTTAACTTTTCCATGCCGTAATGAGGCAAATAGGCAGGTTGTTGTAGTCTAAATGTTTCATTGATTGCAAGACCCTGTGAAACAAAATACTTGGAACTCTCCTGGCACTGATTAATGTAGGGACTGGAAAAGGTGTGCACATCAGAACTGCACCTGAATTATCCCTCATTTGCTCTTCAGTGTGTGACATTTAGGAAGATCAAATTAATATCTCTTATCCTTGCAATTATGTGTAGTGTTAAGGGGAAATGAAGAAAAATCTGTTTCTAGAAAGCACAGTACATAGGAGCATTAGTTGGGAGCAGTTGACCTTTGCATAAAGGGGACTGTGAAATTTCTTTCTTTTTTAAATGAACTATCTGTTGCGACTTCATTTCCTAACTTAGTTATGTCAAAAAAAATAATGTTAATTATATTGCACTGTTTTCCAGATTACTGTGGATTTTTCCTCTCCAAGTGAAACAAATGAGCCTAATTATAGTAATGCTTTCCTCCCCCCAACTTGTAATTAGTCTTTAGTTGTTCCTACAACTAATTATGCTTCTTAGTGTCTCAAAATGCTTACAATATCCAGTCTCCAAAGGAGAATTAGCAAGTACTTTATTAGCAGGTCATTCATCATTTGCTTGTGTTTCTTTTAGACAAAGGTATCTTGCAGTTGAGATAGTTCTGTGACTTTATGTGTATATAGAAGTCCAAATAAAAATGTTTAATTATATTTTAAAGTAGAATCCTTGGAGATGTTGGTTAAGAAGTAATTTAAACATACTCTAAAAATATCCATGAAGGTTTGCTATTCTTTAGAAGGCTACTTTTGCAAAAGGGTTGTGGGAGGTGATGTTTACTGGTATTCTACACTGTAAAAGCTATTGTTGTTAATGAATAAGTGAGTTATGACCCCATGGCACAGTACAGGTAGCCCTGGAAAATTCTAGCTACTCCAAGGAGGGAAAGCAAGTTGCAACCAGATGACATAATACCTTGAATTATTTCTTTCTACCCAGGCAATTTTATCTTAGTGTGAATAGAGTAGGAACTTCTCCTGAACATAGCAATTGCTTTCTGGGACAGTTGCTCTGCAGCAATTCCTGCAGGCTCTTGCCTTGAGATTGCCGAAGATTTTTATTTCAAAAAAGAAATTTATGATTTAATGCCCTAATTTATATTAAGATGAAATTCTGCAGCACTGAATCATTTGGAGTTTTTGCCCATTAACTTCAGCAGCAGGGCGGACGTTTTTCCCCATGATGTTTCTGATGAAGCTGTGAACTGACAGAACTCCAGCAGTAAGATGCGTGAAGCTGTAGCAATAATTTGGTATGCGGACGGGTAGGCAGAGAGCTCTTGCAGGCTCTTATTCCATTTAACAAAACAGCACATAGACAATTTCAGAAAGCTGAGCACTCAGAGCCCAGCTCTTTCCGAGTTGTTCTTGAAGGCTGTTCCATTTATTTTGGGAGGCATCACCCGTAATGGTCCTTGGCCAAAGGCTGCTCTGTCATCCTCGTGCAGGCAGTAGAGGACATCGAAGCTGTGAGTTTGATAGACTCAGGAACCTTCTAGCGGCTCAGGTTTTCTTTTCTTGTTCCCATTTGGTAGGTGCAGAATAGAGGCTTTAAAGCTTGAGTATGAACAGGGGAGACATGCAAGTTTTGCACAGGATCCGAGGGAGATGTATTGGTCCCTTCTTTTCAGTGCCCGCTAGTCCAGATGTTAATGAATGCTGTCAGAAGTACTGTCTTTCTCAGTTGCATGGTAAATGATTTTACAGAAAGCGTATTAGAAAAAGAGAAAAATCTCATATTATAAAAATACATGCTCTTATTTTCCAAACTGAGAGGAACCAGAAAGCACTTGGTGTTTTCCAAGAAAAATTAAAACATGCTTGGAACAGTAAGCAACCGAGCCACAGCAGAGATGCGACGGGATGGGTTGGTTTTCCTGCAGGGTTGCTCAGCTTGCATAAGCTTCTGGCTCCTTCCTAGGGTGCTTTCATCCTTTCCTCTGCCTTCCTCACCCAGTGGTATTGGAAACCTCTTCCTCCAAGCATGCTTAAGTGTATATAACAGCAGGAACTGATTTTCCCTTCCGTCCAGACCTAGTTACTCATCATATCTGATACTTTGCTCTAAGTCACAGCCTTTGCAGAAAGGTTAGCAGCAAGCACCATCTCCGTGGGGAGCAGTCCTGCTGCTGTGTATCAGTCTTGACACGTGTGTTTGCCCTGCTTCAGCAGGGAGACAAAACAGAAATAGGGAGATAAATTGCTAAACATCCTCTCTGCCTGATGACTAGCATAAGCATCATCTCGTTACTGCCAGTTTCAAGCAGTCTAATTAGAAAATTGTTTACACTCATGATTTGATCAAGACAATTTGCACCCATTTTATCAGCAATTACTGATATGAATCTGGCCTACTGGCTTGTAAAATTCTATTAAAATATAAAATTAGATACATTGACATATCCTTGCAAAAACCTGCAGGAAAAAAAATTCTCATATTGGGTAAACCACTGATGGAAGGAAATTAACATTTAGCACCAAGACATATGGCATGCCACAGTGTCTACTTAG